TTTATTGGTATAAATTTCCTTGTAGGTGCCGCTTTAGTCACTGTCCTTAAGTTTTGGTATATTTTAAAAAAATATATCTCAAGGTATTTTCAAATTTCTCTTGTCATTTTTTCTTTGATCTATTTGTTATTTAGGAGTGTTTATTTCTACATATTTTTGAATTTCCTAGGTTTCCTTCTGTTACTAATTTTTTTTTTTTTTTGAGACAGAGTCTTGCTTTGTTGTCCAGGCTAGAGTGAGTGCCGTGGCGTCAGCCTAGCTCACAGCAACCTCAAACTCCTGGGCTCGAGTGATCCTTCTGCCTCAGCCTCCCGAGTAGCTGGGACTACAGGCATGCACCACTATGCCCGGCTAATTTTTTTATATATATATCAGTTGGCCAATTAATTTCTTTCTATTTATAGTAGAGACGGGGTCTCACTCTTGCTCAGGCTGGTTTTGAACTCCTGACCTTGAGCAATCCGCCCGCCTCGGCCTCCCAAGAGCTAGGATTACAGGCGTGAGCCACAGCGCCCGGCCTTGTTACTAACTTACAATTTCATTCCATTGTGTTCAGAGAACATACCTAGTACCATATTTCAATAATTTTGAATTTATTGAGGCTTGTTTTATGGTCTAGCATATGGTGTAATTTAGAGAATGTTCTATGTGCTCTTGAGAAGGGTAAGTATTCTGCTGTTGTTGAGTGAGATGTTCTATAAATACATTAGGTGTAGTTTATAGTCTGTTCCAATGTTTTGTTTCTTTGTTAATTTCCTGCCCAGTTTTTCTATCCTTTATTCAAAGTGGGGTTATAGCTCCAACTATTAATGCTCAATTGTTTATTTCTCCCTCAGTGTTTGTCAATTTTTACTTCAGAATTCTAATAGCAAAATACAGAATTGTCAAGTATTTGTGGGCTCTGTTGTGAGGTGTACAAATGTTTACAATTATTAGAGCTTCTTGATGGATTTAGTCTTTTATCGCTATAAAATGACCTCCTTTATTTCTGGTAAGTTTTATTTTCAAGTCTATTGTGTATGATAATAGTTTAGCCACGCCAGCTATATAACAATTGCTGTTTTGATGGTATGCATTTTTCATTGTACTTTTTCTGGAATCTATAGTGGGATTTTGTTTTTTAAACCCAGAATGATAGTATTTGCCTTATGATTGTATAATCCAGGGGTCCTCAAATTTTTAAACAGGGGGCCAGTTCACTGTCCCTCAGACCACTGGAGAGTGTGCACTGTGGGCCGGGGGACGAGTCGGCTGCCAAGCAGGACAGGCAGCGGCAGCAAAAACACCTGGCGGGCCGGATAAATGTCCTTGGCGGGCAGCATGTGGCCCGCCGGCTGTAGTTTGAGGACGCCTAGTGTAATCCATTCACATTTAATGTTACAGTTGATATGGTTAGATTTATATCTGTCACTTTACTTTTTGCTTCCCACATATATCTATTTTGTTCCTCTTCCTTTTCTGGTTTCTTTTGTACTAAGTGAATACTTCCTAGTGTAATACTTTAATTCCTTTAATGATTTTTCCATACACATTTCTTTGATTATTTTCTTAGTGGTTACCCAGCTCTAGGAATTACAATACACATCTTCTCAAAATCTACTCTGGCTTTATAGTAACTTTATTCCAGTGAAACACAGACATGTCACTCCTATACAGCTCTATTCCTTTTTCCCTTTTTTTTTTGTTAATGTTACACATATTACATCTCTATATATCAAAAATGTATCAATACAATGCCGTAATACTTTTTATAAATTAATGTATTTCAAAATGGCTGAAGATAGAGCAAGTATATATACCTTTTTATATTAACTTTTTATTCACAATTTCTTGCTCTCTTCATTTTTATGTGATTACAACACAGCTTTCCTCTCACCTTTGTGTTTATCACAAATATGCATTTCTATGTTATAGGTACAATGCTATAATTAAATACATGTTGTTTTTAAGAACTGATTTTAAAATCACCTCAAGAAGAAAGGTGAATAGGTAACTTATTAAGTTCCTACATAATTATTTTTATTGACTTACTTTACCCCCAGGACTCGGATTACTGTGTGATCTCCCTTGCATTCAGCCTGAAAAACTTCCTTGAATACTATTTTGTAAGATAGGTTTCCTAGGAACAAATTCTCTTCACTACAATCACCCCCTTTAAAAAAATTCTGAGAATGTCCTCATTTTGCCTTCATTTCTGACAGTTTTGCTAGACACAGATTCTTGGTTGACAGGCTTTTTCCCCCGACCTCCAACAATCTTAAAGTTATCCCTCTGCCTTCAAGCCTCCATTATTTCTGATGAGAATTTAACCATTAATAGGGTTTTCTTATACACAATGAGTGGCTTTTTTCTCTTGCTGTTTTTAAGATCTTTTCTTTGTTTTTACTTTGATTTATCTGAGTATGGATCTTTCTATTATATCTCACAAATTATTGATCTTTATTAATGTTTTTTTTAATCAAATTTGGGATTTTCAGGCATTATTTTGAGACAGAATCTTGCTCTGTCATCCTGGCTACAGTGCCAGGGCATCAGCCTCACTCACAGCAACCTCAAACTCCTAGGCTCAAGCAATCTTTCTATCTCAGCCTCCTGAGTAGCTGGGACTACAGGTGCACACCACCACACCTCGCTAATTTTTTCTATTTCTAGCAGAGACAGGGTCTTGCTCTTGCTCAGGCTGGTCTTGAACCCCTGACCTCAAATGATCCTCTCACCTCAGCTTCCCAGAATGCTAGGATTATAGGTGTGAGCCACTATGCTCAGCCTTCAGGCATTATTTCATCTAATTTTTCTTTTTCTTTCTTCTAACTCCTATTGCATACATATTTTTTTCCCCCAATAAGCCCTTTTTCTTTTTTTGAAACAGAGTCTCGCTTTGTTGCCCAGGCTAGAGTGAGTGCCATGGCGTCAGCCTAGCTCACAGCAACCTCAAACTCCTGGGCTCAAGCAATCCTACTGGCATGCGCCACTATGCCCGGCTAATTTTTTCTATACATATTAGGTGGCCAATTAATTTCTTTCTATTTATAGTAGAGACGGGGTCTCGCTCTTGCTCAGGCTGGTTTCAAACTCCTGACCTCGAGCAATCCACCCGCCTCAGCCTTCCAGAGTGCTAGGATTGCAGGCGTGAGCCACCCTTTTTAAAGCATGAGTGATGTTGTGTGTTTTCTGAGGATGTTTTTCTTAGTTTTTTCTCTTGTTCTTTGAATTGCATTATCTATATTGATCACCTCTACGTTTGCAGATTTTCTACTGTGAGCTCGAATCTTTCTACTGTTCCTCAAATAAATTTTTCATTATAGTTACTGTACTTTTGAACTCCAGAATTTAATTTGGTTCTTTTAAAGTAATTCTTCTCTTAGATTTTATGGAATATTGGTTACATAACTTCCTTTACTTCCAGCAGGGTTTCATTTTTTTTTTTTGAACATAATAGCACTTTGACATTTTTTGTCTGGTTTCAACCTATGGGTCTTCCCAAAGTCAGTTTCTATTGATGGCCTTTCTCTCCTGTGTATGGATCAGTTTCCTGTTTCTTTGCATGGTTTGTAATTTGAGGACTGGATATTTTTGATATTTTATAACACAGCAGCTCTAGATACTCACCTTCACCTTCTGTCCTGCCCCCAGGCTTGTTTAGTTACTTGGCTGAAGGAATTCAGTTAAGTCCATTTACCCTGAAGTGTGCAGCCTCTGATGTTCCTTCTCAGAGAGAGCATAGTCTTGGCATGTGTAGTCACCCTGACTCTTCCCTCTAATCCCAAAGACAGTGGTTTTGATGGGGCTCTCTTTTACTGTTTCTTTTCCTGATGTCCTTGGAAAGGTTCTAGTTGGTCTGCCTTTATTGTTACCATATCCTGCTATTAGCACCCACTAATTTGCTAGCTAACCTCTTTGACAATGCTCTGGGGAATAAGGTACTATACAATTGAATCCAATTCAGGCTCCTGTATAGTAACTTTGTTTTGAGAGAGTGAGTCTCGCTTTGTTGCCCAGGCTAGAATGAGTGCCTTGGTGTCAGCCTAGCTCACAGCAACCTCAAACTCCTGGGCTCAAGCAATCCTTCTGCCTCAGCCTCCTGAATAGCTGAGACTACAGACATGTACCACCATGCCCGGCTAATTTTTTCTATATATATTAGTTGGCCAATTAATTTCTTTTTATTTATAGTAGAGATGGAATCTTGCTCTTGCTCAGGCTGGTTTTGAATTCCTGACCTTGAGCAATCCACCCGCCTCGGCCTCCCAGAGTGCTAGGATTACAGGTGTGAGCCACTGCGCTTGGCCAGTACCTTTTTTTTTAGTACAGTATCTTTGAGGCTTGTTGTAACCCTAGGAGTCTTATTAGCTGCCTCTCTGGTTCTCATACCTTTTTGTTGATCTTTCCTTGTTTGTTTGTTGCACTGCCTTCCACTGCTCCCTCATTCTGTTCTAAACAAAGTTGGTCCCTTTAAGGAGTGTATGGAGCTGTTTTTATGGCCTGCCATTGCCACCAGACAGAACCTCAGTGCTGTTGCTCCAAAGCTATAGATGGGGATTATAATCTGTTTGTCTAGGAGTGATAGTTATAGTTTATATGGGGGCAGTGGGTGACAGGCCCTGGTCTTTTCTACTTGCACAGAACCTTTACCCTGAGAGTAAGCTGGGGAAAAAGCAATTGAGGCCCAGTATTCTCAGTCTGCCATTATTAGGTTAGAGTTTCTGTGCTACAAGTGGGTACTGGGTACAGGAAGGAGCTCCAGGCCTCTTGGCTACTCTTGCTTAGAAAAGGGCTTCTGGAACCCAGAACTTGGAGGAATGAGAAATGCTGGTAGTCTACTCTTCCGGGGATAAATTGTAGCCCAAGATTGGGAACTAGAGAAAGAGGAAGTGGGGTCATGGCCCAAATGCCAGAGAGACTATCTTACCAAGATTTAGTAGATTTTCTTAAATGTTTTTGTTTGATGTATATTCTTATGACAATTTTCAGAGCTTTAAAAACTTTAAAAAAAATTTAAAAGTAATAGTTGTTTTATTGCAGAGAGTCAGTGGAGTTCCTAATGCTATCATTCCAAAAGTGTTTCCTGATTTCTTTTTAATGAATGTCTTAAAATACAAGCAATCAGGACCCTTTAAATAAGGCGGTATGTTCACAATCTGAAACAGCTTTCTGCTGCCATCATTTAATTCAACATAAACATGCAGCATCAGAATAAATAAGTAGTACTTTAATAGTAATTTAAATATATTCCAGAAGTTGAAGAGTGTTTGTAATTCATTTACAAGTGCAGTGTGTTACACCAGTAAATGTTACTTGACCTGTTGTAAATAATGCTGATTAAGAATTAGTCTTGAAATAGTTTTTGAATTTCTATTTCTAATTCAGTACATTAAAAAACACAATTGTGAATGGTATAAAGACGTAAGAATCATATTGCGATAAAATCAATCTCAAAAATAGAGAATACAGACCTTTCCCAGATAATTTAAGAACTCAGTTTTCCTCAACTTAAACATGATGCCACACAGAAAATAGTAAAGATGCCTTTCAATGTGATGTAACTGTATAAAACCCCAGCATGTATTAGATGACTTATGTATCGAAATCAATAAAATTTAGAAAACACATTTAAATCTGAAGCAGAAATATATAACTGAGCTCTAATCATCGTCAGAGTCTGAATCATATTTCTTTCCTCGGATGGTTTTCTTTTCCAGCTTTGTAAAGTTTGTTCCAAATTTCTTTTGGCTCTGAAATGGTGGCTCCATTAAATTTCCACTAAAAATAAAAAAGAAATTGAAAGGCTTTTTATTCTTTATGCTTTAGTACAGTTGGTATACTAAACTGCACAAAAATCTTCCCTCTCTATAACATATAGAGTGAAATTTCTTCCTCCCTATAACATATAGAGTGAAATTTCTTTGAAATGCTGGTGTCAAGGAAGAGGTATAATATGCATGTTAAACCTTATTAGATTTAAACCTTACTTTGTACTAGTAAGTGGTTTCAATATTTTTTCCTCCTCTTATCATTAATTACCAATTAACATTTTACAGAATGTGCCAACAGAATTTCTGACTGAAAAGCAGAGCAGGAAATCACAGCATTTTGGTTTCACTGGTTCTGGATAAGCTGAAGCTGTGTTAGATATTCCTTTTATTCTGACAATGACCTAGACAATGCTGCTCTGTTTTTCATTTCCTCTCATGACTGGTTTGATCCTGTTTAACATTTAACATGTCTTAACGTTTCGATCTCTCCAGACATCAGCAAAACTCATGGAATTCATTATCATTAACCTAGAATTGATATGAAACTCTTTTTCAGTGATGCTTGTGAAATAAACAATATGGGATAATTTCATTTTCCAAAAATATCTTGGGAATACTCCTAGCCCCCAGATATTGGAATTGAAAGATCACATGCTCCTTGGAGAAACAGCTGATTCCAGGGAGAAGACAACGTGAGTCCCCTTTAAAACATCTTGTTTGTACCAAAAAGGGGTCAAAGAATTATAGGGATATATCAAAAAAACCCCACAGGCCAGCGTGAAAAGGGCTCTCTATGGGCAATCTGAGCTTCAAAGTAAATGATAATGGAAATAGACTATAATCTATTGAATAAAAGAATTCATAGCCCATACTAATCTAACTAACAAAGTAAATAAATGTGGGAAATGGAAAAGTTCTTCATTAAATCACCATTTGGCCTGATAAAGAAATGCTTAACCTAGTGTTCTGTTATCATCCAAAATGAGAGAAACCATCACATCCCTCCTGATAAGATACACCAAGGAGGAAGGAAACATCTCTTCCATAATGTGCCTGTCAAAAATGCATAATCTAGCCGGGCGAGGTGGCTCACGCCTGTAATCCTAGCTCTCTGGGAGGCTGAGGCGGGCGGATTGCTCAAGGTCAGGAGTTCAAAACCAGCCTGAGCAAGAGCGAGACCCTGTCTATAAACAGAAAGAAATTAACTGGCCAACTGATATGTATATAAAAAATTAGCCGGGCATGGTGGCGCATGCCTGTAGTCCCAGCTACTCGGGAGGCTGAGGCAGAAGGATCGCTCGAGCCCAGGAGTGTGAGGTTGCTGTGAGCTAGGCTGACGCCACGGCACTCACTCTAGCCTGGACAACAAAGCGAGACTCTGTCTCAAAAAAAAAAAAAAAAATGCATAATCTGAGTCTAATCTTGAAGAAGTATTAGACAAAGCCTGATTTGCCTAGGCAATTTTCTACAAAATAAGTAGCTTGTACTCTTCAAAACACGAAAGTCTTGATAAACAGAGTAACAAATTGGGGTATAGGTTAATGGAAACTAAAGACACATAACTAAATGTGACAGATTTTTCTGGTATGGAGGATATTATTGGGACAATGGTAAAATCTGAGTAAGGGCTGTAAATTACACAATAATTCCTGTTTTAATAATTGTACTGTGACTATGTTAAAAAAAAGTCCTTGTTTTTAGGAAATACATATGAACGTATTCAGGAGTAAGGGGACACCATATTTACAACTACTGCTCAAATGGTTCTGAAAAAATATTTATAGTATCTAGAAAGAGAATGATAAAAGCAAATATAAAAAATGTAAAAGTAGGTAATATGGGCAAAAGGTATATAAGAATTCCTTGTATTAGTTTGCAAACAGTTTAAAGTTTGAAATCACTTCAAGATATGTAATTTCATTTAATAAATATTTTGTTAATATTAAGAAAATGTAGCTAATATCTACAACATTGGAATGATTTAGGCATGCCTAGGAGAGTAAGAAAAAGAGAAAGGGAAGTGGGGGAGAGAAAAAATGAGGGAATGTTCTACTTATTGGAAAGCACTGTAACTCTGGAATGATAATTTTACCTGTTATTTCTGAATATCAAGATCAGGCAAAAAAGATGATATGATTTGATTGTGGAATTAGATAAATTATTTGTGTAGAGAAGCAGACAAATGAGAAATGGAAGTTGGATTTTAGATTGTTTTCAAACAGAGATTGTTCTCCATAGTAAGTAACATAAGCTAAGCACAGAAATCTTTTTGTATTTATCAGATTCCGTGAGACAAGAATATTTATATTTAAAAACCTAATGTTTTAAAATATAACCTTCTTTGTAGTTCAGTGGTTTTAATTTTTAGTTCATCAAAGGGAATCATTTAAGTCAGTATCACTTTGAGTAATCTGGCTTAAATAGTGGTAGAGTCAATTCTGGAATGCCATTTTAAGTTTCCAGATTAATACAGAATTAGTTTTAATAGTATCTGTTAAGTCAAAAACTTTGATAATCAGGAGTACTCCATGAATCAGTTTTAACTATAAACCTGATTTTGCTGTAAAATCATAATAATGGACACTTTAAGAAATATACTATCCTTTGAAAAACTTTTATATATCTCAGTCAAAAGGTCTTATTAATTTCATAAAATAAATGTTAAGATACAAAAATCTTCTATATCAACTAGACATGAATTAAAATAATCTATTATTTTGCTAAAAGTTACCTGTAATTAAGAATATCCGAACAACCGAGCCTCCATTCTAAAGTTTCTGTGGTAAAGTCATCTGTATTTCCTAGGTCAGTAAATCCAACAACATAATCTTGTGTTTTCCCATCTTTTACCAGTGCTAGTGTGGGAATGACTTTGATACGCAGTCTCTCACAAAGGAAAGGTGCTTTTTCCACATTCAGCTTCAAAAACTTGGTCTCAAGGTGTTTCTTGGACAATATCGCCAAATGTCTGTCTAGTATTTTACACCTGTAATAATAACACACAGAAAATCAAAAGCTAAAACCACAGATCTCTTTTCTTTTAAAATAAATATTATTAGGTACACCTAATTTTATAGTTTTTCCTGTTTGAGTCTCATAATTAGGCAGCCAACCTATGCCTGTGTCAGATGACCTCATCTCCAGATCAGAGGTTAGCTGCCTATGAAAGGTAGGAAAACAATCTAGCATTCTACAAAGTCAGATTTACCCTAATTATATTAAAAAACAAAATATTCAATATATGTTTTAAGTCATAAAGATAAGTTGTCATGTTTGTGGTAAGAACAAAAAATTAAGGTTGTCGTTTCCTTTATGCATGTTTCCTGGCATCTTAAACAGGAAGCTTGAAGAGGGACAAATCTGAACTTGACAGAATTTAGATGAGACTTTTAAGAATCAGAAATGTGAAGATGGCAGACAAGAAGACAAGAAACACCTCCAGCCACAGTGTCTCGGCAAGGAGGAGACATTTTAGATGAAAGAGAAAAAACCAGACAGACAAACATAGATCAGATGAGGGTCGCAAGGAAGGGTGTCTGAACCTACAGGAGACTCCATGGGAAGAGGTTGCAGATCAGAACTAGAAGGAGAAAGGCACTGACAGGGATTAAGCCTGGAGAGGCTTGGAGACCAGCAACAAGGGTAGGTGGAGCCGTTAAAGTTCCCCTCCCTTGCATCTCAGATTGCTGGTGGGCTGCCGAGCTGCTGGAGAGGACTCCTGACACCAGTGAGTGGAGAGCCTCTTATGGACAAGGCACCTTCTGCTCCAGAGACCTGAGCCGGTTGGAAGGCACTATATTGCTTTTCTACCCACTGGGTGCCTTTGTCCTCCCTGGAGGGGCTTCAACTCTGCAGGGTCCATCTTGCTTGTTCTCACACAGACATTTCCCAACTCCAGCCCAGACTGTAGGAGCCACAGGGTCCAGTGGGTCCCAGGAGATCTGCGAGACTCCAGAGCCCGGTCATTCTGGGGGAACTGCCTCCTGGAGAGAGGGTCAGAGACTACTGGTATGCAGTCCTTCCTCCACCTAGTTCTTTATTCTCCCCTTCCCTTCTCCTACCTGTGGCTGCCAAGAAAGACAATTTAGCTACCACCGGAGGCATCCACAGTAAAAGGGCTCAGACCTTTCCTTTTGGGGCCCTGCAGTGGACTGAGGGGTTCCCAGACTGTGAGCTCCCTATCCGCCGGCCCTTCCTGGTGCTACTTGCCTGGTGACTAGCAGAGTGGGGCAAAACCCAAGGTAGAAGGACACTGATCCAGCTTGGCCACCCTATGGGTGACTTGGGACCAGCGTTCTCCTCTCTAGCATGGACAGGGATTGATCTCTGGGGCCAGAGAACAGGCCTGCAGGCCAGATCCCATACACCCAGGTCTTGACTGAATTGCCCAGGGGCACAGAAGGGATATTTCTGAATTAGCCTACTGACGTATGTGTGCCTTTCGAGGTGACAGTGCAGAGTGGGTACTAGCTGCAGTGTGCTTGAGGGGCACTCCTCCACCCATGAGAGAGCCGTGTTCCCAGCTCAGGCCTGGATCCTGGGCAGGGAACCTCCTGGCCCAGAAATCACAGTCGTGGGGGAGCTCAGCTGACTGGAGGTCCTGATGCTGGCAGAAACCCAGGAGAAACTGCAGAATAGGGAAGGGTGGAAAGCAGCGAGGCCTGCTCCAGACTGTGAAGACTTTCTGGTTTAGTGGGGCCACTTAAGCTCTGCCCTGGCAGCTTTGCCCAGAGGCAGGGAACAGACCTTTGACCCCCTGCTAAAAGCATTTGTGGAGCTAGAGGGCGGTCTCACCCAATGTAGCCCCACCCAGCCTCACTCCCCTACCCACCCCTGCTGAGGTGGAGAATAAGAACACATCTGGAAGTCCCAGGGCCCCACACACCACCTGAAGCACTAGAGTGCTTCTCTAGAGAAACCAGAGTTGGTTACAGGTCCCCAAAACAACACTGCAGCTTGTTCCTCCCAGCAAGCGCCACCTACTGACAGGGAAGTCAATTTGCACACCCTTTTACTGCATTTGCTGACTTATCACACAGCGTGTGGTTGAATCTCATCCACAAGCATCACCTACACAGAGGCTCAGACACTAAACTGGGCGTGTCATTATCTAAAAGAAAATCCAAAGAAGCTGCTCCAGATGGGAAGGAATCAGCAAAAGAACTCTGAAAGTATGAAGAATCAAACCGAAAGGGCACCCCCAAAAGGGAATACAAGCTCTCTAGCAATGGATACCAACCAAAACCAGAACATTAAAATGACAGATGAAGATTTTAGAACATGGATTGTAAGAAAAATCAATGAAATGCAAGATAAAATGGATACCCAACACAAACCACACATAAAAAATCTGGGAAATGAATGAAAAATTTACTAAAGAAATTGAAATATTAAAGAAAAATTAAACAGAACTTCTGGAAATGAAGAATTTATTCAAAGAATTACAAAACACAATGGAAAGCCTTAATAAACAAGTCAGTAACAGAGATACAGCAGAGAAATAAGAGAAGAGAGCAAAGTGTACAAAAAATGTGAGATTATATGAAGAGGTTTAACATAAGAATCATAGGCATCCATGAGGGTGAAGAAGAAAATACACAAGGGTTGGATAAAACTATTTGAGATTATAATGGAGGACAATTTCCCTGGCCTTGCTAGGAATCTAGATATCTAGGTACAAGAAAATCAAAGGACTCCTGGGAGAGTCATCGCAAACAGGAAGACACCATGAAACATAGTCATCAGACTGGCTGAAATAAACATGAAAGTGGCCCTCCTATGAGCTGTAAGGCAAAAGTAGCAGGTAACCTACAAAGGAAAACCTATCAGACGAAGTGCAGACTTCTCAACTGACACCTTACAAGCAAGAAGGGATTTGGGCCCCATTCTCAGTCTTCTCAAACAGAATAATATCCAGCCCAGAACTTTGTATCCTGCAAAACTAGCTTCATATACAAAGAACAAATAAAGACCTTCCCAGACAAGCAAAGACTGAGGGAATTCATCAAGAAGAGATATGTTCTCTAGGATGTACTCGGAACAGTGTTACATACGGATCAACACAATAGACACTCACCAGTGTAAAATTATCCAAAAGCTAAAGGTCAAAGGCCAGACACCACAATAGCTCAAGAGAGAAAACAAGGCAACAAAGTTCAACTCAACAGGATGAACAGAAATCCACCCCACTTATCAATGGAGATACCTCAGAGAGCTAAAAGTAGAAATACCATTTGATCCAGCAACCCCACTGCTAGGCATCTACCCAAAGGAAAAAAAGGCATTCTATAAAAAAGACATCTGGCTGGGCATGGTGGCTCACGCCTGTAATCCTAGCACTCTGGGAGGCCAAGGCGGGCGGATCGCTCAAGGTCAGAAGTTCGAAACCAGCCCAAGCAAGACCTCGTCTCTACTAAAAATAGAAATAAATTAATTGACCAACTAAAAGTATATATACAAACAATTAGCTGGGCATGGTGGTGCATGCCTGTAGTCCCAGCTACTCGGAAGGCTGAGGCAGGAGGATCACTTGAGCATAGGAGATTAAGGTTGCTGTGAGCTAGGCTGATGCCACAGCACTCACTCTAGCCTGGGCAAAAAAGTGAGATTCTGTCTCAAAAAAAAAAAAAAAAGTGGTATATGTATACCATGGAGTACTACTACTCAGGCACAAAAAACAATGGTGATCTAGCACCTCTTTTATTATCCTGGATAGAGCTGGAGCCCATGCTACTAAGTGAAGTATCACAAGAATGGAAAAACAAACACCAAATGCACTCACCATAAAGTTAGTACTAACTGATCAACACTTATGTGCATGTACAGCAGTAACATTCATTGGGTGTCGGGCAGGTGGGAGTGGGAGGAGGCGATGGGTATATTGACACCTAATGGGTGCAGTGTGCACCGTCTGGGGGATGGACATGGCTTGTAGCTCTGACTTGGGTGGGGCAAAGGCAATATATATAACCTAAACGTTTGTACCCCTGTAATATTCTGGAAAAAAAAAGAATTAGAAATGCACACATGGTGCCATATTTGAAAGTCATGAAGACATCAGAGAAAAAATTCTTTACTCCTGTGTAACTCAGTCAGTGAGAAACACATTAAGGTAAAAGGGTTACTAAAAATCTTTACACAAATATGGATATTATGGTTTTAAAGAAATGAAAAATAACCAGTAGTAACTTTTATTAAGCTATATTCTATTGAAGAGGAAAATGGAAGCAAAAATTTTTTTAACGTAAAATCTACTTCAAACTGGCCAATCCGCTAGTGTTTTTGAAACAAACTATTGTAACACTACTTTAGACCAGTGGCTCTTAATCCCAGGTGTTCATTACAATCAATTTTTAATATACAGATGAATCAAAATTCTTTGGCAGCAGAGTCAGGAAACATACAGGTGATTCTCATGCCTAATAAAGTTTGAGAATTACTGCTTTAGATGAACAAATGACAAGGTTGTTTTTACTAGTAAGCTTTTTGTGCAGTTAAGTGTAGTTCTTCCTGAATTAGGTTTGGGTCCAATAAAAGTTTCTTGTAACATTGATGCTTCATTACATTTCCCCTGAATGTATCTTTTTATATGTCACCCTTTAGGTTTAGTAATGAGATTTCAGTGAAAAATGGCAACAGAGAACAAATTAATAAATGGTTTTAAAATGAAGCTGAAAACAAATGAGTCTTTATATAAGAAACATGTCTCTGAAAATTTGTATGTAAATCAATTTCATGCTTTAACTGGAGTAAGGAATGTATTTTAAATAAGTTTATGATTCTATCATTCATCAATCCATTTTTAAAAATTCAGAAGCAGCAGTCATGGTGTAAATAGCATCAGGCTTAAAATGTGGGTTCAAATCCCTCTTTTATCATTTAATAGCTGAGTGGTATTAGGTAAGTCAATCTCTCCATGTCTTTCCACCCATGAAATATAGAAATTACAATACCTGCTTCAAAAAGTTATGCACTGGGCGTGGTGGCACAGGCCTGTAATCCTAGTGCTCTGGGAGGCTGAGGCAGGAGGATAGCTTGAGCTCAGGAGTTTGAGAACCAGCTTGAGCAAGAGTGAGACCCCCATCTCTAATAAAAATAGAAAAATTAGCTGAGTGCAGGAGTGCACTTGTAGTTCCAGCTACTTGGGAGGCTGTGGGAGGAGGATTGCATTAGCCAAGGAATTTGAGGTTGCTGTGAGCTATCATGATGCCACTGCACTCTAGCCTGGGTGACAGAGTAAGACTCTGTCTCAAAAAACAAACAAACAAACAAAAAAAAACCCCAAAAAGTAATTGTGAATGTTCCAGAGATAATATACATGAAACTATCCAGCCTACTATGTGCTAGGAACTTTGCTAGATATGTAAAAACTAACAGAATGATTTGAATTTTGATTTTTCAGTTTTGTTTCAAAGCAAGTATTCCTGGTGTTTCATGGTTTATACATACATCAATATATTTATGGACCACCTATTATGTGTTGTTATTGCTCTAGGGCTGCAACCTAGAGCACTGTGGGACACAATACAGATAAACACTCTGCCTTTACAAAACTAACAATCTACTTGGAGAAGACATACAATAAGTGAAAAACCAGCATCAATCTTATATATTGATATCAATATATCACCTCATCATATATGCCCGAGGTTGGCAACTTAAGAAATGTGTGCCAGTGGTGGATAATAGTGTACCACAAGAGCAGGAGGTTTCTCTGATAGCCCTCAACCTTCCTAATCCCTTTTCCCACTTTTCCTTACAGGGCATCCTTACAGGGCATTTCAGATTTCATCATCTCAATATTTTCATTTTTATTCTTAGTCAATGAATTCCACGCAATCAATCCTTGACAGGTGTTAACTAATAACAAAGCTGTTGGGTTGTGAGGCTAAGGCAAATGCTGGGCAGGCTACAGAACTGAGAGAAGGCAGGGCTGACCCAATAGTGAGTCACAACGTCTCTACACTATAGTGTATATCTGTCTAAGGGAGGCAGCTACTACTCAACACCAGAAAACTGCTATCATTACTCCAGGTTTGCTATTATTAAGTTTTTTGATTTTTAAAGAAAAATTCTGGAATGGGGATATTTTAAAAATTGGATATCCCTCAACTTTCAAATTTTGGCACCTAATCAAATTTGTGGCCTTCTCCCACAAAAAGAAAGGCTTGAGTCCTCTGGTTTAAGATATAGCCTCTATTTTCATTTTACAAGGGAACTACTTCCTTATATTTATAGACCTCGGTTAGTCTAAGAGAAATGACTTTTCCTTCCAACCAAGCCTGGCAGATCCCACTCTGCTTCTGATGAAAGCCTTGGTCAAGCCAACATCTCCCTATTAGAGTTACTAGCTGAGAAAGGAGTGACTGAATGAACACTAACTTTGAAAGGTTGTTGGCCCCCTATTCCCATGTCATAATAGTGAGGGGAAAAAAGCAGAAATAATTATCATTGCTCAGTTAGAATTTAACGTGTACATTTGGAAGATGTTTTAAAAGTTAGCTTATGAAAATATAATTCAGAAAATACAAGCCATTTATATGGGAATGTTATTTTCAATAATATTCATTGATACTTTTACATGTCACTGGTCTTTAAGATAATCTTTAAAATAATTGCTTAACATTAATGTACTGAAAAGGACGTGAAAGAACATACAGGAATATAATGAAACAACTTAGGAAGTTGTTCCTTTTAGTTTTTTAATTTCTCTATTAAGCCGGTGTATCTCTATCTAAATACTTATCATTTTTTTTTTAAAGCATGGTGGAAACAAAGTTACCTGAATGTGGAATCTCTGTAGAAATGGCAAACCACTTTTTTACTCTCCTTGACTTCTTGAAAAAAGTCTCTCTCACTAGGGATCTCTCTATATTCCCCATGTCCTTTAGAAAGCCATTCCTAATTTGGAAAGAAGTGAAATATTATTACACATGTGAAATGTATCTTTCAGTACCACTTGACATTTTAAGTGTCCAAAATCACCATAATATTTTATAATGGAGTCATTTTATCTTGTAGAGAATGAATTCCTTTTAGCAGTTTACTATCCTGTGTTTCTAGTGTCAATGCAAACCTAGGCTATGGACAGTGACTATCTCTACAGCATGGCTTGAATTTAAGATAATTACCTGTTTTGGTAACTTAAAACATTTATTTTCTAAGAACTTCCAAAATAAAAATTTAGACACAAGAGACTTAGAATGTGAATATCCATTTAACTCTTAATTCTATCCATGCATTCTTAAAACCATAAGCATTTGATCCAAGTTATGACGAAATGTTAAAAAAAAAAATGCTCATGAAATAAAGCCGGTCCGCTGTGGGGAGAAGAAGGTTACCATATGTCTGACGCTCAAGAGCCCTGTCTGCTTTTAACGACTACTTCAGAGAAGCAGGTACCTCTTCGACACTGGCCACCAATGGACAGTGTCTCCAGAAGAAAAAGTAGTCTATTCACATAGTGTCCAGAACTAACAAAGATCTTACATCAAATCCCACTTCCAGAGTCAATACCAGAACCCCTTATCAACTAAGTCTGACAGACCTTTCAGCTTCTTGAACCTTTCCAGTCAGTATCACGAAGTTTATCACTTCAACTAGAAGCTCATTTCCTCTATCAGTCAACCAGTTTTAATAAAAAGAAGCATTAGGCTTACAGGCAGAAGTCACAGATTTGAATACCTGTTCTACCACTTATTAGGCTATGAATTCTAATAACCTTTCCGAGCCTCAATTTCCTCATTTGGAAAGGGGAGATGTAAAGCAACTATCCCTCTGGACTGTTATGAGAATGAAATAAGACAATCTACAAGAAAATACCTAAAACAGCATCTGGCACATGTGCTTAACAAGCATTTGTACTCATACTATCTAATTTTTAGAAAGGTCTTCTCATACTGAACAATACACCCCTAACTTTGGTCTGTGGATCCTAGCTTGGGACTAAGATTAGAGAGAAACATTTTAATTTCTCTTTCACATGCCACTCCTTTAAATATCAAATCTTGCCTAAGTCTTCCCTTCTCCAAATGGAACATTTCCAGTTCCTTTTAAACTATTTCTCATACAAAAAGATTTCTAGACTTCTTACTCTCTCTGGATATCCTCTGAATATACTCTAATTCACCCATGTCTTTTTCAAATGTGGCAGGGATCTAAATTCAGCCCTCCAGAAGTGGTCCAACCAAAAAGGGCCAGGAGTGCCATCTTCCTTCCTCCTCTAGACTTCAGCTAACATGGCCCAAATGATGTTAATGGTTTTGGTATCCATTTCACATCAGTTTACGTTAAGGTGACACTCACAGAAGGCCCTGATATTCTTTCCTTATGTGAAATTTCTCCTCCCTCCCTCCCTTCTCTCTCTCTCTCCTTCCCTTCCTCCCTCCCTCCCTCTCTTCCTTCCTTCCTTTCTTTTCTTTTTCTTTTTTTTTTTTTTAAGACAGAGTCTCCGTTGCCTGGGCTAGAGTGCCGTGGCGTTTTGTCAGCCTAGCTTATAGCAACCTCAAACTCCTGGGCTCAGGTGATCATCCTGCCTCAGCCTCTCGAGTAGCTGGGACTACATGCATGCACCACAATGCCCGGCTAATTTTTTCTATATATATGTTAGTTGGCCAATTAATTCCTTTCTATTTTTAGTAGAGATGGGGTCTGCTCTTGCTCAGGCTGGTTTCGAACTCCTGACCTTGAGCAGTCCACCCGCCTTGGCCTCCCAGAGTGCTAGGATTACAGGCGTGAGCCACCACACCCGGCCTGTGAAATTTCTATACGTGGTTTAAACTCACAAATACAATTCCTCAATGATATGTGACATTTCATGACTGCTTTCTTGCCTCACCAATAATATGGGTTCTTAAAATTATTTGTTTTTTAAAAAGTTGCTATTTCTTTTCATTATTTTTTTCTCATGTGTTTAATCAAGAGGCTGAAGACCTGACTTAACCTGTCCAAGTTCCTTTGAGGGAGGGTGTGCCCACTATGAACCTGCACCAATGCTCAGTACGCCCCCTCAGACACTTGCCACATTCCTGCACTCTTAGCACAGCTATTTGCTAAACAGAATCAAGCAGGATGAGCCTACTTGAGCCATGGCAGCTGGGCAGTACCTGGTTCTCACTCAGTAGCTGTCACTCAAGCCTCTGCTGGGGTCTTCCTATTTCTCATTTTGTGTCCCTGCTCCCTACCTAAGTGCTGCAGCTCTAACTGCCATCACAGTAGGAGGGTGCTTGGTTGACTGAGGAATACAGATTAGCATAGGCCTATTAAGTGTTTAGTATAAGTCACTGCATGCAGTGTTTCTCCAAAACCCTTGTGGATCAGATAATCAAAGTTACTGTGTAATCCACACTATTCTTTCAAAGAGTATCTGTACAAACTACAAAGGTCTCTTGCCTACTTCCACAGAAAACATTTTAATAAAAAAGATCTATTAAAATGCGATGAAAGAGGCCAGACGCAGTAGCTCACACCCGTAATTCTAGCACTCTGAGAGGCCAAGAGTTTGAGATCAGCCAGAATAAGAGCAAGATCCCGTCTCTACAAAAAAATAGAAAAATTAGCCGGGTGTGGTGGCGTGCACCTGTAGTCCCAGGTACTCAGGAGGCTGAGGCAGGAAAATAGCTTGAGGCCCAGGAGGTGGAGGTTGTAGTGAGCTATGATGACACCACTGCACTCTAGTCAGAGTGAGACTGTCTCAAAAAAACAAAAACAATGAAAGTTCTAAAATAAGACCCGAGTTAATTCATGACAAATTCATTTTAAATTGATTTATCTGTTAATAATAAAAAGTCTTAAGGCCAGCCCACCTCTCTTGGTTTTTAATTATAAATAATCAGACTGTTTTAAACTTCTGAACACTTCCTTTACAGCATTATTTAACATACATTCCTTATAAATCAGGTGCATTCAGTCTTTCCCCAAAAATATCATAGTTATGAAAAATTATTTTTATGTGTTTATTTAAATTAAAAAACAATTTTTTTTTAGAGATAGGTTCTCAGTTGCCCAGGCTAGAGTACAGTGGTACGATCAAAGCTCACTGCAGCCTTGAACTCCTGGTCTCAAATGATCCTCCTGCCTCAGGCTCTCAAGTAGCTTTGGACCACAAGCATGTGCCACATTGCCCGGCTATTGTTTTAAAAATAATTTTTATAGACACAGGGTCTTGCTATGTTGCTCAGGCTGGTTGTGAACTTCTGGCCTCAAGTGATCCTTCCGAGTCGGCCTCCCAAAGCGTTGGGGTTATAGCCTGAGCCATTGTGTGTGGCCTGAAAAATTATTTTCAGTTGCACATTAGTAATTAGTAGCAGACTTAACTGTAATCATGAAATGAGTTTGTGGCAGAACCTAAACATATATTACCTTCAATCCCAATAATCTAGCCTCTGCTTACTATTAGCATTATATTAAGAAAAGCAGGCTATTTTCTAAAATAGGGTACATTTTAAAGCCATATAATATACCCTATTTTAGAAAACTAAAAATACAAAAATCAGAATTCACTCATAAAAGATTCTTTCTTTTTTACAGTAACTCTTCCAAGCACTGAGGGTGTAACACATTATCAAAGGGATACTAATAGTAAGAGTAGCACAAATAAAACTCCCTGTTTCTTCAGAAAAGTTAAAGCTCACATTTTAGTCATCAACTGAAGAGGAATCAGAGTTTATGATAATGTATTTCTATGTAACTTAACCCAATGGAAACATTTTTTAATCAAAACTCAATTTACAGAATTTAACCCATTGGTTTTGACTGGAGTCTACAACTACAAGTTTATTTCACGCTCACACTCTAAGAAGCTAACAAGGATAGAGCTTTGGCTACCTTTCTTTGTGACCCAGCATGCGTTCTTTTGAATAAGTATGCCATATAATTAAACATTACATTGGAAATGCCTGAAATACTTGCTTCAACATAATTGACTTAACAGCTCTTATCTAATATGTCTTATCCCATTTGCTGTGAAAACAGCTAAATTATGGTGGTCTTTAATACTACCTGAAATGGAAACCAAAGACTCCCTAGCTCTCTCAGTGCTCTTCCTAGCCCACTATGTCCTTAACCAAACAAATCCAAGCTCAGAAAATAATCTTGAGCAGATCTTTCTTTTACTTGAATACGGATTAATACACTGATTGGGCTAGTTTGGAATGTGTCTTTAAAACACATTTTTTTCTCAGCAAATTTTTAACAGTAAAACTCTGAATTCAAAAAAATTCTAAAAATGAGGAACAAAATGTAAATACTATAGCACATGTATATATAAGTTGTTAGGAGCATACTGTTATAGCAATTTCAGAAAGCAGGGCAGAGAGGTTACTTGTTTCTGCTGTTGAGCCTTCCTTAGTGCCTCAAGTCTCTTTTCTTTGAGGCGTTCCAATTCATCTTCATCCATCTGATCCAGTTTCTGAATTTCAGAATCCAAATGTTCTTCCACTCGTTTCGTTGTCTGAAGCAACTGATTCTCCAGGACTTTTGAAAACATATCTACAGATGCATCAGCTTCCATTCTTCTAAATGGTACAGTTTAGCCTTGGTGCTAGCGAGGAGGTTTCCAAAATTAAAACAAAAAAAATATATAAACAATAAGCAAAGCTTTCTTTTCCATTTTCAAAAATTTAACAAGTATATAATGTGTACTCCATGGAGCATTCTGCTAACATCCATCTAGGCACTTGATATTGAACTCAGAATTTTAATTAAAATATTTATAAATTTAATTTTCAATATTTTCTAGTCAAACCACTCTAAAACTACATATAGCAAATTTTGGGTGCTTCTGACCTAGTTTGTATTTTACTATACTAAAACAAAGATAAGTCTTTAAGACCATCACCAGACCATAGAGCAATGAGTTGTGCAATTATACCTAGTGATACATACACTGACAATCAGTGTTCTTTACCAAAGGAAAAGGGAAACAAAGCAGAAACAACTGTGAACAATGGTAAGGTATAAATAATGAGGTTTTACCTATACATATACATATTAAACTTACTTCAACGTAGAGTTGAGCAAAACACAAGATTTTCTATGGTCATTGCCCAAATGAGTTTCATTTAATTCCCAAGACATCTTATTATAATTTATGTAAAGAACAGTGTCTAGTGTTCCATGAGCATTAAGGTCCACTCCTGTTCTCCTATTACCTAACAAAAAAAGTCTATGAGGCTGCAAAAATTGATACTGGTTTCAATTTACTGACACTCAGAATAACTTTGATGTAAAACAATGTAATACTCCAAATATTTTTTAAATGTTTATTTTTTATCATCATTACTCCTCTGTGTAAATTCAGAGTTTTAAAACAGAACTTAGATTAGAAAGGAAGATCTCAATTACAGTCATACATCACTTAATGACAGGGATACATGCTGAGAAATGCGTCGTTTGGTGATTTCATCATTCTGGGAACATCATAGAGTGTACTTACAGAAGACTGGAGGGTACAGCCTCCTACACACTTAGGCTATATGGTATAGCCTATTGCTCCCAGGCTACAAACCCATACAGCATGTTACTGTACTGAGTACTGTAGGCAACTGTAGTACAGTGGTAAGTATTTGTGTATGTACCCATACCTAAACATAGAAAAGGACAATAAAAAGACACCATTATAATTTCACAGGACTGAAATGTCCTTAGGTAGCACATGACTGTATGTATTTTAAAAGAAATGGAGTATTTTCTGCTAGCAACAGAGGGCAATTTTATGTGTATTCCTGGGTTATTACCACAGAAATATTACTTATAATTTGCCTACCAAATTAGGAAGCTGTTTTGCAAATACTACTTAAGCACCTTAAAAATCTGAATAAACTGTGAATTCATTCATGCATTCAGCTTCTGACATGGATCCTGGCCTACACAGACCTTTATACTAGCAAGAAATACTCTTGTAAACTTCACATCGGATACCTTTTTCTTTACAGGAAAAGCAGCTGACAAGCATACTTGATTCCATCTTTGTATTCCCAGAGCTAGCAGTGCTTAGAACACAGCAGGTACTTAATAAATATGTATTTAATGTTGAATGGACACACGCCAAGCTTTGGTTCAAATGACTGTATTGTCAGGTTTCAAAAGTATGAGGCTGGGCAGAGTGGCTCACACCTCTTATCCTACCACTTTGGGAGACCAATTGCTTGAGGCCAGGAATTCGAGACTAGCTTGGGCAACACAGCAAGACCCTGTCTCTAAAAAAATTTTTAAAAATCTGCAAGCTCCTCTTAAGTGGTACAAAACTGGAAAGGAGCTGTATGTCAAATACAGTAAAGGTTTCCACACTCTCTACCTCCCAAGAAAAACGTAAGGTTGTTACCTTCAGGGCAGGGGTTAGATGGAGAAAATAAGACACTGACTTGCATGTCAGAACCTGTTCTTACCAGGGGCAAAGTGGAGCTTATCCCTGGAGTGTCATAGCACAGAATCTAATTTTGGGATAACTGGGAATAGAAGCTATTTACAAGAGCTGTTCTGGGTGCAAGTGTTGCTGGTTACCGCATTGAGAAAGGGGTAAGTTGGTTACCGCATTGAGAAAGGGGTAAGTTGATAGTGTAGCGGCCCTGCTAACTTTTCATTCTTCAAACCACAGCCTCTGATTCTTCCTTTTTAAAGCTTAACTGGAGAGGTGGGAAGGGACACAGCATGTCCTCGAATTTCCTAACCATTTTTTTTTTGATACCCTTACAGGTACCCGTCGAAACAACCAAGGGGTCTCGTCCTTAACTGCGCCCCAGGTACCCTCCTAAGAATACTCCTGCCACTCCCGGAGCCCTGGGGGACAGAGGAGGGCACAGTTCCGGCGGGCCAGACTTCAACGCCTCCTAGGGCGCATGCGCCGGAGCCGCCGCTGCCGCACAGACAGCCGCGTCGGGGCCGCGCCCCTCCCCCGCCCCGGCCAGAGTTGAGCAGCGGTGTATGGATCAGCACAGGGACGTGGTGTCAGGTCTTTCCACACCACCCTCTGCCTTACCTGAGCTCTCGGTGATGCCTTAACGTGGGGGAACAGCAGCTGCAGAAGAGCGGTCCACTCTGGCTTCAACCTTGCAATAGCTGCCGGCGGCTGCGAAGCGGCCGTCACTTCCGCCTTCTCATTGGTTGCGGATCTCACGCGATACCACTTTCGACGCCCCAGGAAGGGGCGGTCGGGTGTGCGGCGAGCGCTTCTGCGCGTGCGCCTCCCGCCGGCAGCCCGGAACCCGAGGCTTCGGATTGTTTACCTACCTCAGGGTAAACTGGGTTTGGAAGGCCGCAAAATACGCTGGAAGTTGTAGTTTCTTAGTCTGCAGGCTGCAGTTGTCGGACTTTATTAGGCACTGTGCCCCAGTGCTGATAACGTTAAATTGGAAATGAGATAGCTACGATCTTGCTCAGGAGTGACGCTCAAACTTCGTTTCCATCCTCAAACTGTTGATTGAACATTTTCCTTTCTCCTAAAGTTGAGGCAAAACTTACACAACACAGTGGATTTTTGCGTAATTAAAATCTATATCACCACCTAGATCCAGATAAAGAATATTTTCACTACCCCAGTAGGTTCCCTTATGACTTCTCTAAACACAGGAATTTTAAGGACTTCTTGCTTCGAATATAAAGATTAAGACTTATATGAGGAAATGGATAGATATACCCTTGTGTGTTTTCATTAGTGACTGTACATACTTAATAATCCATGGACATTACAGAGAGGTCTCAATTTTATCCTGGATTTACCCTCGGGAACCCCAGAGGGCTCATTATTGGTACCTTTTGGTCCTTTACTGAACTTGGTGCAGCTGAGAATACAAAGGTAGAAGGGAAGCCCGAGGCCTGCTGCTGAACCGAATGTCAATACCCCAAAGCCTGCGTTCACCCGCGAGGAGGGGGCTGACGTGGGGCATTGACAACCTCATTGTCCCCCTCCGGGTTCTAGAACCTGGAAACCTAGCGGGCGTCGGCGCGCGGCGGATGCTTGTGGGCAGGGGGCGCTAGGGCTCCTGCCTGGCCGGTCGGGCCACTGGAGACGCTCTACCCGAAGCGCAGCTCTCGATGAGCCGCGCCCTGCGTCCTCACGCCGAGGCGGCCGGGCGATGCGCTTGCGCACTGATCGTTCACACCATATGTGCCCTGTCCCAGTGCGCGGGTCTGTGGAGAGCCGGGTGCGAGCGGCGGCAGCGCGGTGGGAACCGTGCCGAGTGGAGCCCAGAGTCGGCGGGGGGACAGTGGGTCTGTGAGAGACCGAATAGAGGGGCTGGGGTCACGAGCGCCTCTGACAAGCGATGGGGAAGAAACAGAAAAACAAGAGCGAAGACAGGTAGCCACTGGTTGGTTCTGTACGGCGGCGGCCGCCGCGGCTCACTGGGGTGCGCGGGTCCCGCCGGGCGCGGGGTGGGACCGGGTCGACGCTCGCGAAGAGCCTCGCGTGGCGCCAGGTCTGGGCCCACAGTGGGCGGCGCGGGTCCAAGACCCCCGGGCTGAGCGGGCGGGTGCGTAGGGCCTTGGCAGCTGGCGGGTCCTCCCAGCCGAGGTTTAGTCCCACCGCTGCCCCTTCCCCGGCCTGAGGAGCGGGGCAGTGGTCTGAGGGTTCCTGGCCGCGCAGGGAGTGCTTCAGGCAGTTTCGCTGGGCCAGGGGCGGCCCGGCCAGCGTGGCCCAGGGAGTTGTTTTTTCGGCGCTACCATTGGCGAGGGTCGGGAAGTTCTTTTTATGTCTTTTGTACCTGTGAACACTTGGGAGAGAAAGTCTTAATCTGACGTATGTGCCGCCAGGTTTTTCTACTCTCCGAGCCGCTCAGGTACGCTGTAGTTATGGGAAGGTGTTTGGCAGCTTACTCTCAATCTCATTTGGATACAGTTCTCATTTATTTAAGGGCAGATTGTCCAGACCCCATGCTTTTCGATTTCCTTCTTCCGGCCTGCCTTTTGGTCATTTCTTTGCTTTCTAGTCCTACCCTAGGAAGGGAGGAGGAGGAGATGAAACCAACCAAGGTTGCGTCTTTCTTAACTGTGTAAAAAGCTTTTCGAGGAAGGGAGTGTAAGAGTATATGTGAGTTAACTTACCCAGAGATTTTTGGAACATTTCTGTGTGTCACATTCGGTAGAGTTCTTTTTACCCTTTTCATTGAGAGTTTACTTCCTGGGAGTGAACAACATCTGTTACTTTTCTACCTTTGTACATAACCCTCGAAACTTAGTTTTAAATACTAGGTGGAGAGTAAGAAAAATTAAAAACCAAACACTAGTGTTAGTTTATTAATTTGACTCAGAACCGATAATGTGGTCTTAGAGTTAAGATTACTAATTCTATTTGGAATCCTGGATTGTTTCTTCACCTAGCATTTATGTAGGTAAATGAGTGGAATTAAAAGACAACAAGGATAGTATTGTATTTCAGTTTTAGGTCTGTTGGAGGAAGTTAGTTGGTTTGGAGAATAGAATTTATTGTTAATCAAACCATATGAATAAGAAAAAACAAACAGAATTATGAGTGCTGTAGTGGAACACAGATTTCTGCACTTCTGACAGAAATTCTTGATGCATAGGATACTTTTTTCCGTGCTGAAATTTTCAACCGTATGCAAACACAGATTAGTATAATAAAGTTTCATGTATCAATTACCTGGATACACGCGTTGTTAGCACTTGACCAATTCTATTTTGTACACCTGCTAGATATTTTAAAGCAGATTTCAGTAGCCTTTTATAAATCTATCAGGTGTATCTGAAAGATAAACACTTAAGAAAACTCCACTCACAGCCACAGTATTGTCATCAAGCCTAAGCAATATTAACTATGATTTCTTAAATTTTATCCGATATCCAGTCAGTTTTCTAATTTCTGTTAATAAAACAAATCTTTTTCAAGTTGTTTGGTTCAGGATTACACAAATTTGTTCTTTAAATTAAAAAAAAAACAACCCACATATATGTTATTCTACTTCTAGTTTTTACTTTCCATGCTCTTTCACAAAGTAAAAAAGCCATTGTAAGGGGAAATGTTTACTGGTTTTATATTTTTAGAGAAAAGTGAATTTCTGTTACTGATTTATAGAGATTTTCAGTGGTTTGGTAGTGTAGAAGGAGTGCTACTGGGTTTTTTTCCCTTTCAAACTAATCTATAGTCCTTATTTTTGGCTCATGTTGAAGGGAAAGTGGTGGCAGTGTAATTTTAAAACATTTTCTCATATACCAATATGAATGTGTGTGTATATAAAGTGTGTATATATATATACACACACACACACACACATGCACACACACATATATATGCTTCATGGATTCCTTTACAGTAATACCTTTCAAATTATATCTAAAAGATTATTAGTATGGCTTTCTTGTTTTGGTATTCTGCATGAGAAATTGAGAGTCGGTGGGGGGAAAGTTCCACTGCCTTGTGAGTTTGCTTTTTCCCTTTGTATATTTATATATTACTTTCCTAAAGAATATTTTGAATATTTGCAAATAGGACAGAAACATATACTGTAAAGAAAGGAAGGAGAAAGTCCTATTTAGGATTAATGTTCTTGTTTGTGTAAAATGAGATATATCTGGTTTTATTCTCTTGTGTGAAGATTCCCACTTTAAAGGTTTTACTGTCATCCTACCTACCTTCCCCTCCCAGGCTGTCCTAATCCAGGTATGTTTCTGGCGGAGTAAAACAGGGTGAGAAATGAGCAGCTGCTTATTGTCAAGATAAGCCATGGAGCCACTTTTCACTTCATGGAAAGAACATAAAATACTTGATTGTTCTTAATCCTTATATTCAGTTAATCCTTATTTTAAACTTTTTAGCCACTCAGTGTTCATTTAAAATTAGATTTTATTTAATCTGTCTACTTTTATTTGTATAGCATATATCAGTTACTGAAATATTTTTGTATTTTTAGAATTCTAGAACTTTGTTATAGAACAAGTTCTAAAATTCTGTTCACTTTATGTAATTCTAAGAATGAGATTTTGGCAAGCAAGTTTTCCTGACTTTTTTCAGTTGACTCAAGAAACTTGTTGAGGCAAAGGATAGGATTCAGTATCTACAGATCACACAAAATATAACCAATACTTCCATTCCTCCCTCTAACTTTCACAGTCGTTAGTTTATATAATTAGACCTTATGGGATCCTGTATACTCTAGTGATGCCTTACTGTTTCCATTTATACAATACAGTGGATGTTCTCTAAATGATGTGTGCGGAGAAATAGAGAAAAAAGGATCTAGATTATAAGTTTTTTGCCATTAGTCTCTAATTCTTCATTCTGTTTTTTTTGTTTTTTTTTTTTTTTTAAGGATCTGTTTAAAGGTGATAACTAAGTGTGGTATTTTTTTTTTTTTTTTTTTTGAGACAGAGTCTTGCTCTGTTGCCCTGTAGAGTGCTAGTAGATTTTTCAAGTTATAAGGAATCCAATAGGTTACATTAATTAATGGGGTTAATACAACCCTCCCCTGCCAATTCCCAAACACACGTCTTCCCCCATATAGAGGGAAGGAAGATAATTATTTCACTTATCCCACAGTTAGTTATAGAGGTGAGGATGTCATTCAGGAGCTAGAGGGTCTTTCAGGATTCTGTAGAGTTCTGGGTGCCTTTAGCATCAGATTATTTGTTGCTGTGGCTCCCTATGTTTGTTGCAAGCCAGTATAGTGACTCCATTATTCTTTGCTTTTAACTTCGGATAATGTTCCTGTCATTACTGGTGATCTTCCTCCTTTTGTGGGAGTTCTGGCTATCTCTGAGATGACAACTGCCTAACCTTTAGATGATTGTCTTAAGGTGTGATAATGGTAGCAAAGTCTGTGATAGAAAATAGTGGTGATCTACTTAAGGAACCTGTCCAGAAGGATACCTGTGAGTATAGCAGGCACACCAAACCTGCCCAGAGAGGGAACAGTGTAAGTTGTAAATAGTTCAGGTTCAGTAAAGGAATTCATTTCTTACTTGCATGTATTGAAATTAATAAAAAAACTCTTATCTGCATAAATGAGATCAGAAAAGAAAAAAGATGCATCATCTGAGAGTTCTTTACACTTAACTCTGTTCCTATACTGACACTTTAGGAAGTTGATAGGGGAAGAAGTCCTAGTTTACTATAAATTAATAAGAAAGCAGATTATAGACTTTTGTTGGTAGTAACCTTTCTAGCTTTCCAAGCTGGGGATATCTGTAGGGATCTGATTCAACTACTTTTAATGTTACTTGCCCATTAGTTGTGCTTTTTTTTTTTTTTTTTTAATCCTTCTAATTTTATTCCAGTCTTACAATTGATCTATAAGGTGGGCAAAAGCATTATTTTACTGAGGAAATGAGTGTCTGGCGGTTAGAATAGCAGTTCTCAAACTTTGGTCCTAGAACACTCTTAAATTCTAAGGAATGCAAAAGGCTTTTGTTTGTGAGGGTTATATCTATTGATTAAAATATTAACAAATTAAAACTAAAAAATTCTTAAGGTATTTAAAAATAAAAATAAATACATACATTAATATAGCATTAAATAACCATATGTTCAAAAAATAGTTATTTTTGCAAACCTCTTTACTATCAGACTGAATAGAAGATAGTTAGATTCTCATATCTGCTTATGCATTTGATATGTAGCATTATCACACACATCATGTGGCCTCTGAAAAACTCCACTGTACAGTTGTGAGAAAATGAGAATGAAAAAGGCTCCTAGCCTCTTGGTATTGTTTTGAAAATAGTTTTGATCACCTAAATTAGTTTAGACCCCCTAAAGAGATCTTGAGGACTAAATTGAGAACTGCTGGTTTAGGGATTCCTAATCTAGATTTAGGCATTTGTGAGACATTTCCCAAGCTCTTTGACCATCATTAATATTTGTCTTATAGGTGCTTAGGATGCTAGAGAATCACTTAACAACTTAAAACATCTGTGAACAGGTTAACACTCTCGATGTTTTACCAATTCATGATTTTTTTTTAAATGTAATACTTGTCAAAGTCTGTTAAAAAATCTGTTGGGATTGATTTTAAGTGGGAGTCCATTAAGTTTTTAGATTATTGGCATCTTTATGATATTGATTCATCCCATTCAAGAAATACATTGCATGTCTAAGCACTTAAATGCCCAGCATTGTTCTAGGTGCTGGAAATATATTTGTGAGCAAATAAATAATGATTTGCTTCTCTACTTATTTGGTTAATTTAATTGTATATCAGTAAATTTTTATTTTCTTCATTTGAGTCATCAGGATATTTCTTGTTTGGCTCACTCCTAGTTATCTTGTAGTTTTGGTTGCTGTTAGTGAAATAATTTTCTTTCTTTTTTTCTTTGTAAATAATAAAGCCTTTTTACCAAGATGGT